CCACTTCTCCAGAATCATGAACAAATCTAGTGAATACCAACGCGTATTCAATCACATCGATATAGATCGAAATGGTATGATCTCTCCATCAGAGCTGCAACACTGCATTGGGTTGATCTGGAACGATGGAATTTTACTCGAAGAGGTAGAAGTTGCTGTGAAATCGTCACAAGGAAACAATGGACAGTTAGGGTTTGAAGATTTTCTTGGATTAATGGAAAGCGCAAAGGAAGAAGAGAAGCTTGAGGACTTGAGGAAAGCTTTCAGAATGTATCAAATGGATGGGACTGATTGCATCACTCCCAAGAGCTTAAAACGGATGCTGAATCGACTCGGTGAGTCCACAAGTTTGGATGAGTGTGTTGGTATGATAAATCGATTTGATCTCAATGGTGATGGAGTTCTCAACTTTGATGAATTCAAACAAATGATGCTTTGAGACTTCAAATCGTTTTGTTTGTATTATGGATAATCCATCAAATTCGAAGATGTAAAAAGAATTGTTATTCAAGTATAGTAAAAGAAATAATACCCTGGTGTTGATGCCATAAGATAAATTTGAATGCATATCAGCAGATTGTAAATCCAATTTTTTCATAAGAATGGACACCTGGTTGGACTCGTTTGCAGAGAAGCTGGTCTTCTCAACCTTATATGATTACATCCATTGGCCATTGCTGTTGACATCTCATTGGCTTTTCCCCTTTTCCATATTTCTCTAATTTTTTTATACTTGAGACAATGAACTTGCTAATTAGAAACAAGAGTAAATTACACGAATGGTCCCTAAGGTTTGGGGTAATTTGCGTTTTTGATCCTTAATTTATTTTTTTAACTCGGAAGATCCTTATGGTTTGTTTTTGTTACGCATTTGATCCCTACTGTTTATTTTTGTTAAGCGTTTGGTCCCTGTCTTATCTAAAAAGACTATTATTTAAAGGGGAAAAAATGATAGGGTATTTAAAAAGGAAAAAATGATAGGGTATCTGAGGTAAGGTGAGGAGGTGGGATTAGGGTTGTGTTTATTTAAATAAATTAAAAAAATCAATTGCATAATAGTCTTTTTAGGTAAGATAGGGACCAAACGCGTAACAAAAACAAACAGTAGGGACCTTCCGAGTTAAAAAAATAAGTTAGGGACCAAACGCGCAAATTACTCTAAAGCATAGGGACTATTCGTGTAATTTACTCTAGAAACAATTGATCTGAAAGATATTCGAAACCATAATGGTAAGGTATGTAAAGATTGCAACTTGTTATGCATTTGCCTTAGGCCTTAGCTTTCTCGTGTGTAGTTCCGTGATACCTTTTTGGAAACATTATTTTGAGGACTTGAAGGTATAAATAATAAAATTGATTTTGGGTTTCGCCAGTGAGGAAGGGTGACGAAAAAGGCAAGGAAGAGGAACATCGATGGTGATGGGGGAGGAGATTGGAAGATGGAGAAAAGGATGTACATAAGGGTAGAGCCGGTTTACAATTTAATATTTATAAAAAAATAATAATAAAATAAAAAATGAAAGTAAGTAAAAGATAAAGATAAAAAAATAATATTAGAAAATGATAAAATACACATTTGATATGGAGCGTGTTCAGCAAAATTAGCTGCTAACTGGTAGCTTGTAACGGATAGCGTGTAACTTTTAGCTTGTAGCGTTTTGTCAAACGTTAAAAGTTAGAAGTTCTCATACACTCCGTACAAACACACCAATAGTTTAGAGAAAAACCTGTTACCCGTCAAAAAATTAAAACGAGACCATTACTATTAAAAGAGAATCATCAAAGAGTAAACTTTGTAGTCTATAAATGGTTTAGGACCAATCAGCCAATAAACTAAAACGATTGGACTTTTCCTTTAACACCTCGTTTCCGAGTTCAATTTATGGGCTTGTAGTTTCAATTAGATTATATGGGCTTAGAAGATTGGTCTGAAGTTTGTTGCAAAAATGAAGAGATTATAGACCAAAAGGGTTAAAGTTGTACATCCTTAATTCATGTGGACTTTGGCGCTGTTTTCAAAATTGATAGAAGAAAGGAGCGGGGATCTAACCAAATACCTTATCTTTGATAAGGTTTGTTTGGACGCATTGGTTTAATCTGATTCAATCAAGTAATTACAAATAGATTTTAATTTTTAAAATATGTATCTAATAGTCTAAACTAAATTCAAATTCAATCTGATCCAATCAAATTACAATTCGGTCGGATCGGTTTTATAATACGGTTATTAAGAGACAAAACATTTTAAAAAATAGGGGTGTTGATCAGGTAATATTTTCGGGTTTTCAGTAATTCGGGTTTTTCATGTTAAAAAAAATACCGGTTACCCGACCAAATTTAATTTGGGTTTGATAATTTGAGTAGTGGGTCGGGTTTGGATAATTCGGGTATTAGCCGATATATATATATATATATATATATATATATATATATATATATATATATATATTGAATGGCACATGAAAATAAATTTAATGAATAAATATGTCGTGATGTATTAATCTTGTTTATATAAACAAATGAGGTATAAACGAAATTACTCAAACTTTGAACATTGAGATTTTTTAGTCAACAATATTTGAGATATCAAGTAATCTTTTAACAACTTAATCTAATTTAATAAGATGTTAAAAAAATAAATAGTTAAAGATCTTGGTTTAAAATTTTAAAATGTTCAAGATAATTGTAGCCATATGTTTTTCAATTTTATGAAGTTTCGTAAAGTTAATGAGTTTGTTAGTTGCAATAAAAACTATAATCTAGAAAACCGTTAAATTTTAAAGAACAATGTGATATATAAACAGTTGCTTTTAATATTGTTGGTGTTTGTCATAATAAAAGAGATTCATGTTTTACAACAATGATAGTTACTTTAAGCGTGATAAAATACCTGTTACATAGTATAAGCTCTACGAAAGAGAAAAAAAAATAATCCGAGTATACCCGAAATCCAACAAATGTACCCTATACACGACCTTAAAAAAATCGAGTTACCCGAATACCCGAAAAATTAACCCGATACCCGATTTACCCGATACCTGAAAAATCGGCCGGGTATTTCGAGTATCGGGTAATTTTGACAAAGCTATTAAAAATATGTATAACTTAAATATTAATCAACTCTATAAAATAACTAATAAAACGTTTTAGTTACGAATTATTATTTATAAACAACTATTAAGAAAAATTGATTATAGTTTAATATTTCATTGACAAAAACTTTTAATAAAAAGTATATATTAAGGTATTATACCGGATGAAAGTTTCTAATGACTAATAAAATAATTTAGTAAATTATAAATGATTAAAGATATATATATATATATATATATATATATATATATATATATATATATATATATATATA